TGCATTTGCCTCAGTTTGATGTTCCACTTAAATTTATTATTTACTAGCCGTCCCCTGCCACGCATTGCTGTGGCCCACATGGGCGTTCTGTGTGGACTGTTTGGCCCAATTCTATTGTTGGTGGTATTCAGAATGCTCTGTGATTGTAGGTGAACTATAAATCCCAGCAACTACAACTCCCGAATGTCAAGATGCTATTTTCCCCAAACTCAGTGTTCACATTTGGACATATTGAGTATGCGTGTAGAGTTTGGTCCAGATCCATCATTGTTTGAGACCACAGTGATCTCAGGGTGTAGGTCAACTACAACTTCAAAACCAAAGGACACTGCCCACCAAATCCTTCCAGTATTTTCTGTTGGTCATGGGGATTTTGTGTGGGAGGTTTGGCCCAATTCTATCATTGGTGGGATTCAGAATGCTCTGTGATTGTAGGTGAACTATAAATCCCAGCAACTACAACTCCCGAATGTCAAGATTCTATTTTCCCCAAACTCCACCAGTGTTCACATTTGGGCATATTGAGTATTCGTGTAGAGTTTGGTCCAGATCCATCATTGTTTGAGTCCACAGTGATCTCGGGATGTAGGTGAACTACAACTCCAAAACCAAAGGACACTGCCCACCAAACCCTTCCAGTATTTTCTGTTGGTTATGGGGGTTCTCTGTGGGAGGTTTGGCTCAATTCTATCATTGGTGGGATTCAAAATGCCCTTTGATTGTAGGTGAACTATAAATCCCAGCAACTACAACTCCCAAATGACAGAATCAATTTTTTGAGTGAAGGACATACATTGGGTTGTTAGTTGACTTGTGTCCAAATTTGGTGCCAATTCGTCCAAAGTGGTTTTTGAGTTCTGTTAATCCCACAAATGAACATTACATTTTTATTTATATAGACAAGCAGACATCCATGGGAATTAGTAGATTATTCTTTTAATTTTTATTTTTTACTAGCCGTTCCCTGCCACGCGTTGCTGTGGCCCAGTCTCATGATCTGGAAAATAAAGTAATGAGAAAGTGTTGGTTTCTAATATGTGTAATTTCTTTCTGCTTGTGGGTAAACAGTATTTATTGTTGTTCCTTTGTGGGTGTTGATGTGGAGAGTGTCTGGTTTGCCTACTCTGGAACATGCAACATATAATTATCCTTATTGAGGGGTCCCTTTCAAATCTATGATACTATATCTCTGTGTGTGTGAATCATATATATCTATCTATATCTATGGCTGGATAGCTCTCTGTCAGGAGGGCTTTGATTACGTTTTCTTGCCCTGGTGAAGGGAGTTGGACTGCATGGCCTTTTCTGTTGGTCATGGGGGTTCTGTGTAGGAAGTTTGCCCCAATTCTGTTGTTGGTGGGGTTCAGAATGCTCTTTAATTGTAGGTGAACTATAAATCCCAGCAAATACAGCTCCCAAATGTCAAGGTCTATTTCCCCCAAACTCCACTTGTGTTCACATTTGGGCATATGGAATATTTGTGCCAAGTTTGGTCCAGATCCATCATTGTTTGAGTCCACAGTGCTCTCTGAATGTTGCTGAACTACAACTCCCAAACTTAAGGTCAATGCACACCAAACACTTCTAGTGTTTTCTGTTGGTCATGGGTGTCCTGAGTGCCAAGTTTGGTTCAATTCCATCGTTAGTGGAGTTCAAAATGCTCTTTGATTTTAGGTGAACTATAAATCCCAACAACTACAACTCCCAAATGACAAAAAAAAATTAGTGATGGTCACTCCTTTGGTGTCTGGTGTCCAAATTTGGCAGCAATTCGTCCAGTGGTTTTTGAGTTCTGTGAATACCACAAACGAACATTACATTTTTATTTATATAGATTATTTATTTATTTATTTCAAACATTTGTACCCCCATAGAGGGACTCAGGGCAGTTCACACTGGCACAATTTGATTCCACTACATACAAGATAATACATACAGAAATTACACATGAATGATACATTAATTTAGTTTAAAATTAATTTAAAATTAAAAAGCCATTTACAATAATATTGGCAGTCTAGCCTTATCTTAACGGCGCTCCATGCAGTCATGCCGGCCACATGACCTTGGAGATGTCTACCAACAATGCCGGCTCTTTGGCTTAGAAATGGAGATGAGCACCATACCCCAGAGTCGGACACGACTGGACTTAATGTCAGGGGATAACCTTTACCTTTACCTAGCCTTATCTAGAATCGCTATATTAAAGGATATACAATGCCATATATGAAATGATCCTGATCCAAAATGATGTTCAAATGAACCATGTTTTAGCTCTAATTCAAGAATCATTCTGGCTTGATATTTGTATTCATTGCTTGTATATTTATATTATCACTTCATCTGCTACTTCTTGAACTAATTCCTAGGTCTCCCTACCTGAAAAAAATAACAACATAAATAGTGGGATCTATAGTAATTCATTGAAACTTAGAAGTCTTAGTGCCATATGTGCACAGGATTGTTTTTATTATTAGAATCATAGAATCAAAGAGTTGGAAGAGACCTCATGGGCCATCCAGTCCAACCCCCTGCCAAGAAGCAGGAATATTGCATTCAAAGCACCCCTGACAAATGGCCACCCAGCCTCTATTTAAAAGTAGGAGCCTCCACCACACTCCGGGGCAGAGAGTTCCACTGCTGAACAGCTGTCACAGTCAGGAAGTTCTTCCTCATGTTCAGATGGAATCTCCTTTCTTGTAGTTTGAAGCCATCGTTCCGTGTCCTAGTCTCCAGGGCAACAGAAAACAAGCTTGCTCCCTCCTCCCTAGGACTTCCTCTCACATATTTATACATGGCTATCATGTGTCCTCTCAGCCTTCTCTTCTTCAGGCTAAACATGCCCAGCTCTTTAAGCCATTCCTCATAGGACTTGTTCTCCAGACCATTGATTATTTTAGTCGTCGTCCTCTGGACACATTCCAGCTTGTCAATATCTCTCTTCAATTGTGGTGCCCAGAATTGGACACAATATTCCAGGTGTAGTCTAACCAAGGTAGAATAGAGGACCCCAAGATCTTTTGTTGTTGTTGTTGTTGTTGTCCATGAGGACCCCAAGATCTTTTTCACATGTACTGCTCTCGAACGATGCATCCCCCATCCTCACAAGCTCCTTCATGAACACAGAAATGTTCCACTCAACTGGATGTTTTGTGGTCCATTACTGGTCATGTGAAAATTCTCAGGGCTGTGGCACTGCTCCAACACTGGTATTGGAAGAAGAATCTGGAGAGGTGAAAGAGAGTGGAGGTTCCTTGGCAGAAAGTTCCCACGTGTTCCCTGCCTCTGTAGTCTTTGTGGTTACCATACATAGCATAGTGGCTTGAGAGACTACATCACTGGCCATCCACTGTTGGCAGGAAAGTAATTCTGGTTTTGCCTGTTGAAACTCCTGTGGAACTCCTGTGCCCTATGTTTTGTGGCCTGTCCCACGGGTTGTGAAAAACCATCTTGGAAGGAAAATAGAAATATATCACATACTAGCTGTCCCCTGCAGATGGGCCAAAACTAACAAAATAAAGTTCAGCAGGGACAAATGCAAGATACTCCACTAAGGCAAAAAACAAAACAAAACAAAACAAACAAAAACAAAAATGAAATGCAAAGATACAGAATGGGGGACAATGCCTGGCTCGAGAGCAGTACATGTGAAAAAGATCTTGGAGTCCTCGTGGACAACAAGTTAAACATGAGCCAACAATGTGATGTGGCAGAAAAAAGCCAATGGGATTTTGGCCTGCATCAATAGGAGCATAGTGTCTAGATCTAGGGAAGTCATGCTACCCCTCTATTCTTTGGTTAGACCACACCTGGAATACTGTGTCCAATTCTGGGCACCACAATTGAAGAGAGATATTGACAAGCTGGAATGTGTCCAGAGGATGGTGACTAAAATGATCAAAGGTCTGGAGAACAAGCACTATGAGGAGAGGCTTAAAGAGCTGGACATGTTTAGCCTGAAGAGAAGGCTGAGAGGAGACATGATAGCCATGTATAAATATGTGAGAGGAAGTCACAGGGAGGAGGGAGCAAGCTTGTTTTCTGCTTCCCTGGAGACTAGGACCGGAACAATGGCTTCAAACTACAAGAGAGGAGATTCCATCTGAACATGAGGAAAAACTTTCTGACTGTGAGAGCCATTCAGCAGTGGAACTCTCTGCCCCCGAGTGTGGTGGAGGCTCTTTCTTTGGAAGCTTTTAAACAGAGGCTGGATGGCCATCTGTCAGGGGTGCTTTGAATGCAATATTCCTGCTTCTTGGCAGGGGTTGGACTGGATGGCCCATGAGGTCTCTTCCAACTCTATGATTAAATGATTCTATGAAATTTTGAATGCCATTTGGTTTAATGTAGCGCAAAACTTCATTTTTCTCCCAGTTGCCAACTGGGATGTGAAAGGCCAGCAGCCATTTTCAAAGTTCCAACAGACCTCACTACCTCTGAGGATGCTTGCCATAGATGCAGGAAAAACATCAGGAGAGAATGCCTCTTGAACATGGCCATATGGCCCGGAAAAAAACCCACAACAACACAGACCAGCAGGCAATTTATTGAAGAAACGTTATCATCTTGATTTACCGTCCTTTTCTTTCTGCTTGCAGTGGTCCTTTTCTTGGGGTGAGGGTGTGGGCAGGGTATTACATGCCAATGATCTCTCTTGGGTTTTTTTCTGTCTAAAGTTGTTAAGAGTGATTGACTAGAATCACACCTGATATAACCTGCTAAACTGGTGGATTTATGAGGCTAAATGTCATTCTTTCTGCTTAAGCATCTATTAATTGCCAAATGGGTTATTTTCTTTTTAAAACCCGACAAATTACTGGGAATTGTTAACTTGCAGTTCTCATAACAGGTAATTCACATTTTAATACCATGTTTTCAAACTCACAAGGGATGCAGTAAGTTTACTTTTTTGCAGTCCTACTAAAAGGCAAGATGTGTTTACAAAGAAAACGTTCAGTCACGTGTCATTACTGACTTCAGCTTCCTTGTTGTGCCAACAGGTGAAGATGCGATGACAGGAGATACAGATAAATACCTTGGGCCACAGGATCTGAAGGAACTGGGGGATGATTCTCTGCCTGCGGAAGGATACATGGGCTTCAGCCTAGGAGCCCGCTCTGCCAGGTATTCAGCGGGTTCTGCTCAGAAACATTGGAAAACAAATCCCAAACATAATGCATTTTATCACCTCTTTCCTTTTTCTGAAGCTTGAAGCAAGTCCTTAATGTTGGCTGCTTGATCTCTCTCTCAGTCTTTCAAATATGCATCTGCAGACAGCCCTCCACATTTGCAGATTTGCTTTGTGCAGATTGGATTAAAATATTCTATTTAGCAATCTTTAGGTCGTCTAGTGTAACTGTATGACCAACTTACATCAGAAGGAACTACCGTATATTCCAGGGTACTAGATGATTTTTTAGGCATGTAAAACCTTATAAAATTTTGGGGGTCATCTAGTACGCCGGGTATAAAATTAAAATAATAATAAAATTACATACTATGGCTGCCTTGGCCTCGGGCTCCCCTCCTCCTCCTCCTCCGCCTTGGTTCATGGCGGCCTCCCGGGCAGGCTCCCCATCCTTCCTCCCTTCCTGGCTGCCTTCCTTGCTCAGGCCCAGGCCTCTCCTTTGTTGGCGGCCGGGCCCCTGGGCTGCTTCCCGCGCTGCTCAAGCCGCTCTCCTTCTTCCTGTCCAGGCCTCACAAGAAGGAAGAAGGAGAGCGGCCTGAGGAGCGCCAGAGGCCCTTCTGATCCGGCCACTGTCCTCCTTCCTGTCCAGGCCTTGTGAGAAGTGCCTCTTCTCCTGCAAGACAACATTGTCTCGCAGGAGAAGAGGCCCTTCGCCCGAGGCCTGGCCAGGAAGAAGGAGAGCGGCCTGAGGAGCGCCAGAGGCCCTTCTGATCCGGCCACTGTCCTCCTTCCTGTCCAGGCCTTGTGAGAAGTGCCTCTTCTCCCACGAGACAACGTTGTCTCGCGGGAGAAGAGGCACTTCGCGCGAGGCCTGGACAGGAAGAACGAGAGCGGCCTGAGGAGCGCCGGAGGCCCTTCTGATCAGGCCGCTCTCCTTTCTGTCTATGCCTCGTGAGAAGTGCCTCTTCTCCCGCAAGACAACATTGTCTCGTGGGAGAAGAGGCACTTCGTGTGAGGCCTGGACAGGAAGAAGGAGAGCGTCCTCAGGAGCACCGGAGGCCCTTCTGGTCAGGCTGCTCCCCTCCTTACTGTCCAGACCTTGTGAGAAGTGCCTCTTCTCCCGTGAGACGTCTCGCGGGAAAAGAGGCACTTCGCGCGAGGCCTGGACAGGAAGAAGGAGAGCAGCCTGAGGAGCGCCGGAGGCCCTTCTGATCAGGCCGCTCTCCTTTCTGTCTATGCCTCGTGAGAAGTGCCTCTTCTCCCGCAAGACAACATTGTCTCGTGGGAGAAGAGGCACTTCGTGCGAGGCCAGGACAGGAAGAAGGAGAGCAGCCTGAGGAGCACCGGAGGCCCTTCTGGTCAGGCCACTCTCCTTCTTCCTGTCCAGGCCTTGCGAGAAGTGCCTCTTCTCCTGCGAGACGTCTCGTGGGAAAAGAGGCACTTCGCGAGGCCTGGACAGGAAGAAGGAGAGCGGCCTGAGGAGCGCCGAGGCCCTTCTGATCAGGCCGCTCTCCTCCTTCCTGTCCAGGCCTCGCACGAAGTGCCTCTTCTCCCGCAAGACAACATTGTCTCGTGGGAGAAGAGGCACTTCGCGCGAGGCCTGGACAGGAAGAAGGAGAGCGGCCTGAGAAGTACCTGGTTTGGGGAGTCATCTTAAACGGCGAGTATATCCCCAACTCTATTTTGTTTGCTAAAGTTGGGGCGTTCTCTTATAGCCCCAGTCGTTTTGTATCCCGGAATATACGGTATATATTCATAGAGATGTGTTATCTCCGGTGAATAAACAACAAAACCATTTTATTATTTGGGGGGTTTAACTTTTGTGGGAATCCTGTATCCCTAACACTAGCAAATGAGGAGGGCTGACTGTATTGCTGAGTTTCCTGCTTCTCTGTGCCCTCTGTGATAGCTTTAGCGTGGCAATAGTTCAGAGCAAATGAAGTCTTCATTTTTCTCCCGGAGTGTCCTCTCATGCTCTAAATATGTCAGAAGAGTTCCTTTGGAAACAGCTGGAAGCCTCTGTTTAAAAGCCAGACTGTTTAGCCCACAATGACCGTTTAAGCCAGGACAAAAAAAAAAGGAGAGGGTCTTTTGTTCATTCATTTGATAGTAATTCTTATTGACGCTAATTTCTTCTTTCGCTTAAGACTAAAAAACAACATCATCTTATGCAAGAGAAACTGAAGGTGGCTGCTTGGCTATTATAGTCCCTTTATTTTTCCCCAAGAGTGTAGATGGTGAATACTAATAACTTGTAAAATATTGAAATCTGTTTACAGATAGCTTGGGGGGAACCCTTACAATAGTTTCTTTCCAAATGAATGTGCCATTTTTTTCTTGCAAGGGAGGAAAATAGGTCACAGTTTTATGAGAATGATTGCCATCTTTGCACTTCAAGACATGCAAATGTTCGTATTATTGGAAACGTCTATGTGGGTTTTTTCTGCCTTGTCTAGCATCTGGAACCCAATAATTTGGGATTATTTCCACAGTTGTGCATTAGTAGCCTGTTTACGGACAGTAGAATTGTTTGGAAGCTAATAATTAAACCTCTCAAGCTTGTAGCCTGCGGGCATTTTCCTATAGCTTAATGATCTGTTGTGAAAAGCCCTTCCATTGTCTAACAGGGAGTGACACCTCCCAAAGGTAAAACTCAGATGCTTGTATGTATATATAATTTTGGCTTGGTTGTTGTGGCTGCATTTGGTATGGTAGCATGTGCAAGACATTTGCATGGAAAATATTTTAGTCACTCAAGCTGTATCCACAGTGCAGAATTATAGTAGTTTGACATCACATTGACTGCCATGGTTCACTGCTATAGGATGCTGGGATGTGCCGTTTTGGACAGTTCTCTGTCCGAGAGAACTGATGCCACAACAAACTACAAACCTCAGGATCCCCTTGTCGCAACTCAGGATAGATTCACCTTGCTCAGAACAACACCACACACCAAAGCTGTAGGTTTTGTAGTTTAATGAAGAAAAAGCAAAAATCAAAACATAGAAATAAGGTTGCAAAAGTTCAATAGCCAAGACAGTGTCTCAAATGAAAGGGCAGAGTTTCCAAGGTCCAAACACAAATAACATGAAGTATCCTCGACAAGCATTGGTCAAACAAGAATCCATGGCAGCATGACAAAGTCCCCAGAAACCAGGATCAAAACCAAAGTCTCAGAGCCAGGAGCTTTCCCCAAAAACCGAGACAATTCCAGAGAAGTTAACAGGGTGTAAACAAAGTTGCACTGACAAAGGGTTGACTTCAATCAGATCATTAAATATGCTTTCCTAATATGAAAGCATTACGTTGACCTTGAACTTCCCGTTTGTTAGCAAGCCGAGCACTTCGGCGTACCCTTAATTGCAAACGGACCTCCCTAAGCAAATCCCCAGCACCTTCAAGGCCGAATAACTCATTATTTTGGGACTGGCCAGCCTGGGAATCGATAGGCACTGAGCTCACAGATGGAGTGGTCGACTCCTCCACCTGCAGCTGTGAAGTTTCACTCAAATCATGACCATCTTCTAAAGCAACATTCCTTTCTCTGGGAAACAGAAACGCCATCTCAGGGAAACAGAAACGCCAACGCCGTCTTCAGTATCAACACTGTCTGCATCAACAACAGTGTTGCAACCCACAGCTGGAAACTGGATCCTCAGACAACAATCCACCACACTTGACTTCAGGAAAACAATCCTATTTTATTAATGAAAGATGAATACAAAATAGAAGAAATATGCAAAGGTAAAAAGTCACAGTAAAAATCAGGAACAGGAAATGTCCACAAACAAGATCATTAAATCCACAGCAAAACTGCTGAATCCTGGAACCTGTAAGCAACCCATTAACCATACCTGGAACAACTAGAAAACCTCCGAGGAACAAGGCCACTTGAATCAGGAGACCTGGAAAAGCTTGCACATGAATCTGGAACGATGCCTGGTCTGAAGCTGCATTCAGGCCAGGCATATTTAAGGCCGGGAAATCTATTGTGAGACACGCCTGAAGATTTTGTTTGCATTTCTTTCAATCTGGTTGACCTACGTAAACTTTGTGCTTCACCCCAGCTCTGCCAGATCTGCCCCCGCCTATCCTCATTAGGGAGACCAGGTGTCAGATTCTCTGGAGAACTAAGATTGGGAGGAAAAGGGAGTGAAACATCTCCACTCGGCTTGGAATGCATGTTCTCATGGGAATTCTGACTTTCACTTTCCAAGGCTGTAGGATTTTCACTACTCAAACCATCATCATCTAAATTGGCCTCAGAATTCACATTGACATCTACATTAGCATCAGGAAATACAATCAGAGAATCAGGTTCAGGTTCACACACAGGCTGAACCCCAACAAACAGGGACATGTTCAGAAATCTGTAACCCATCATCCTCCTTGTCCTGAGGAAACTCAGGCTCAGAAAGGTCAGGTTCAGACTGAGCCACAACACCCCTATTATGGAGCCATGGTAGTTAAAGTAGTGCCATAGTGCTATAGTTCTGAAGTGTGGATGATCTCTTAGGTTACAGTACTTTCTTTTGAATTACATCTGAAGAAAGCATTCTGGAAACAACCAGGCTAGATAAGAACACTATTATGAATTTCGAAAGTCATCTCAACTTAACTTATCTATCCAGAATCAAATCCATTCTATCTAGTTTTTGATATATGTGCTTGTCCACAGTATATAAACTGTGGCTTCAAAGGGCATCTTAGTAGTATCTGTAAGGGTTCTGTAAACCTATACATCCTGCATAGATTTATTGAGATGTTAAGGTATTGTATGTTTCCTGTTAATCAGAAATCCTCAGTGGGCTTGGCTTCTCTTTGATTTCCTTGATAGAGCCTGAAAATTCATATGCTTCTGATTTACCAGTACCATTGTTTTTTCTCTATGTAGCTCATGTTTACATCTGCAGTATCTTTTATGTGTGTTACACTCAGAGACAACAAATTGACATTTGAACATATCAACACACCATATATCTATCTCCATTTGATTCCAAACGGGCATGGAGATTGTTAATGATTGGAACTTTTAAAACAAGTCTCCTATGTCACACTCAGAAAGTTATAAATTACCATATAAACTCGAGTATAAGCCGACCCGAATATAAGCCAAGGCACCAAATTTTATCACAAAAAACTGGGAAAACGTATTGACTTGAGTATAAGCCGAGGATGGGAAATGCAGCATCTACTGGTAAATTTCAAAATAAAAATAGATACCAATAACATTACATTAACTGAAGAATCAGTAGATTAAATATTTACACAAAACTGTAAGACTGCCCAACTCTGATTAAACCAAGTATTCTAACCTTCTTCAATGTAAATGTGCTTGCGTAGTCTTCCAATAATAATAGAGTAAAATAATAAATGTAATAATAATAATAATGTATATAAATAAAAATGTAATGTTCATTAACAGAACTCAAAAACCACTGGACGAATTGACACCAAATTTGGACACAAGACACCTAACAACCCAATGTATGTCCTTCACTCAAAAAAAAATAATGATTTTGTCATTTGGGAGTTGTGTTGCTGGGATTTATAGTTCACCTACAATCAAAGAGCATTCTGAACTCCACCAATGATGGAATTGGGCCAAACTTAGCACACAGGGCTCCCATGACCAACAGATTTGGTGGACATTGACCTTTAGTTTGGGAATTATAGTTCACCCACATCCAGAGAGCACTGTGGACTCAAACAATGATGGATCTGGACCAAACTTGGCACAAATATTCCATACGCCCAAATATGAACACAGATGGAGTTTAAGGGAAATAGGCCTTGACATTTGGGAGTTGTAGTTGCTGGGATTTATAGTTACCTACAATCAAAGAGCATTCTGGACTCCACCAATGATGGAATTCAACCAAACATGGCATACAGGACTTCCATGACCAACAGAACACTCTGGAAGGGTTTGGTGGGCATTGACCTTGGGTCTGGGAGTTGTAGTTCACCTACCTCCAGAGAGCACTGTGGACTCAAACAATGATGGATCTGGACCAAACTTGGCACAAAAATTCCATATGCCTAAATATGAACACAGATGGAGTTTGGAGGAAATAGACCTTGACATTTGGGATTAGTAGTTTGTGAAACCCACAAACGACAGAAATGGGGCAAACTTCCCACACAGAAACCCCCATGATCAACAGAAAATACTCAAGGCCATCCAGTCCAACTCCCTTCACCAGGGCAAGAAAATCTAATCAAAGCCCTCCTGACAAAGAGCCATCCAGCCATAGATATAGATAGATATATATGATTGGCACACAGAGAGATATAGTATCATAGATTTGAAAGGGAACCCTAAAGGACAGTGATATGTTGCAAATTCCAGAGTAGGCAAACCAGACTCTCTCCACATCAACACTGACAAAGAAACAAGAAGAAATATCGTTTACCTACAAGCATAAAGAAATTACATAGATTACAAACCATTATTTTCTTTTCCAGCTCACAAGACTGGGCCACAGCAAAGCGTGGCAGGGAACAGCTAGTATTTACATAAAACTGTAATTTAAGATAAGACTGCCCAACTCTGATTAAACCAAGTATTCTAACCTTCTTCAATGTAAATGTGCTTATGTATCCTTCCAATAATAATAGAGTAAAATAATGGAAATGTAACACCAGTAATAATATCGTAAAATAATAAATGTAATAACAATAATAGAGTAAAATAATAAATGTAGTAATAATAGAGTAAAATTATAAATGTAATAATAGTAGAGTAAAATTATAAATGTAATAAAAATAATAACAGAGGAAAATAATAAATAATCTTGACTCGAGTATAAGCCAAGGGGGACTTTTTCAGCCTAAAAAAGGGCTGAAAAACTAGGCTTATACTCGAGTATATACAGCAATTATTTTTGGAGGAATCCTATGAATTGGTTACCTTTTGCATACAAAGTGTATGCTCTAACCCTAAGTTACAATTTATTCCATTTAGCAGAAGGACAAGTTGTCTTTCAGCTACGATTCTTTGCTTTTAGGAGCATTTGGTAATATTTTAAGGTCCCCCCCCCCCCGAAAACTAACAATATAGTCAAATCACACACGTGTTTCTCTCGTGTGACTGAATCTGAGTGTAACATTATGCAGTGAATTACATTAAATGTCTAAGTCACCCAGTCCATGGCACTGTGCTTTCTCTGCTGTCTGATACTTGCTTTCTCTCCTTGTTCCTTTTCCCCCCTTTGCCCATTTATAGTCCTAAGGTCAGGTAAGAGAGCATGACACCCTTGTGACATTTCCCTGCTTTTGCCATTCTTCATTTTCTCATTTTATTTACTCTGCATTGTGATGTGACGTGAGGTTTTCTGTTGTGTCCCATGTTAGACAATGCCGTTTTGATTCTTGCAACATAACAAGTGACCTGGTTTTGTTTACTATATTTAGACTAGCAAAAATGATAGATGGTCTTTAATGTTCCGGAGCCCAACTCTGTTTTATTCTCAACTCAGTGGTGACATTACAAATGGGATACTTGTTGGGATAGAATCTTGTAAATGTCTCATTCAGAAGTGCCAAGTGCATGCTTCCAATCTGCTAGAGCTGTATGCTTTTTTAAAAGAAATAAGTTGAAATATATTTTTTGTTTTGCTGGACGCATTTATTTTTGTAGACCATTTTCTTTCTTTTCAGTCACAACAGCAAGCATGTCTAAATGTGTGGCATGTTTTCTAACATATGCCTTATGTAGCTTCCAGGGTTAATGGACAAAACATTGAGATTCAGCATTTTCCTTGATCTCAGTACATTCACTGAGCACTTAAAGGAAATATTTGATGAATGAATCTATATACATTTAACACCTTTCAATAATCAATGTACTTTGTCTACTTTATCTTAGCAATCCTTACACTACCCTTTAAAAACATGGCCGTATTGTTATTCCCATATTGCAAGTGGAAAGGTCAAAGCTGAAAGAGAATTGTTGTGCGTAAAGCAATATGATTAGTATGTAATTGCAGCCATCAGGCATGTTTGCACATAGAATGACTTCCTTTACTTCTTAGATTATCTTGTTGTGCGTTCTCCTGAATGCATGATGCCAATGGCTGTTTCAGTCTTTTACTTGTGAGGCATAGTCAGTACAATAATGATCAATATGAGTATAGTGTCTATATCCAGGGAAGTCATGCTACCCCTCTATTCTGCCTTGGTTAGACCACATCTGGAATATTGTGTCCAGTTATGGGCACCACAATTGAAGAGAGATATTGACAAGCTGGAATGTGTCCAGAGAATGGCAACTAAAATGACCAAGGGTCTGGAGAACAAGCCCTATTAGGAGTGGCTTAAAGAGCTGGGCATGTTTAAGCCGAAGAAGAGAAGGCTGAGAGGAGACATGATAGCCATTTATAAATATGTGAGAGGAAGTCATAGGGAGGAGGGAGCAAGCTTGTTTTCTGCTGCCCTGGAGACTAGGACACGGAACAATGGCTTCAAACTATAAGAAAGGAGATTCCATCAGAACATTAGGAAGAACTTCCTGACTGTGTTCAGCAGTGGAACTCTCTGCCCCGGAGTGTGGTGGAGGCTCCTTCTTTGGAAGCTTTTAAACAGATGCTGGATGGCCATCTGCGAGGGGTGCTTTGAATGCAATTTTCCTGCTTCTTGGCAGGGGGTTGGACTGGATGGCCCATGAGGTCTCATCCAACCCTATGGTTCTATGAATTTGAGGCCAGTACAGGTTACATCTGGGCTCCCTGAAAACATATGTTTTAGCTCTTGTCTGTGATTGCTGGCTGGTTATTTTTTGGACTGCAATCCCAGAATCCATCACTCATGATTGGGATGGAGGTTGTAGTAATAAAAAACAATATTTCTAACCTCTGCCATCTTCTATAATTCCGATATGTTCAAGGAAGAGTTGGCAAGCTCAGCTTTTCTTGCTCCTGCATCTTTGCAGCAGCAGAAATTGATCTGATAAAACTGGGTTGTTGTAGGTTTTTCAGGCTATATGTCCATGTTCTAGAGCAGGGGTCCTCAAACTAAGGCCCAGGGGCCAGATACGGCCCTCCAAGGTCATTTACCTGGCCCTTGCTCAGGGTCAACCTAAGTCTGAAATGACTTGAAAGCAAACAACAACAACAATCCCATCTCATCAGCCAAAAGCAGGCCCACACCTCCCATTGAAATACTAATAAGTTTATATTTGTTAAAATTGTTCTTTATTTTAATTATTGTATTTTTAAAGTGATTTTTGCACTACAAATATGATATGTGCAGTGTTCATAGATATTCATTCATTTTTTAAAGATTATAATCCGGTCCTCCAACAATTTGAGGGACTGTGACCTGGCCCTCTGTTTAAAAAGTTTGAGGACCCCTGTTCTAGAGGTATTCTCTCCTGATATTTCGCCTGCATCTATGGCAAGCATCCTCAGAGGTTGTGAGGTCCTCTAGAACAGGGGTCCTCAACTAATTCCTGGGAGCCGGATACTGCCGTCTAAGGTCATTTACCCGGCCCTCACTCAGGGTCATCCTAAGTCTGAAGCGACTTGAAAGCACACAACAACAATCCTATCTCATCAGCCAAAAGCAGGCCCACACTTCCCATAGAAATACTAATAAGTTTATTGTTGTTAAAATTGTTCTTTATTTTAATTATTGTATTCTATGATTCTATGAATTTGCTCTACAAATTTTTTTTGCTCTACAAATAAGATGTGTGCATAGGAATTCATTCATTTTTTTTTCCAAATTATAACCCGGCCCTCCAACAGTTTGAGGGACTGTGACTTGGCCCTCTGTTTAAAAGGTTTGAGGACCCCTGCTCTAGAACATGGTATTATAGCCCAAAAAAACCTACAACAACCCAGTGATTCCAGCCATGAAAACCTTTGATAATACATTGATCTGAGAAAAAATTCTCCTGGAAGGTCATACAGCTCTGCTGGGTGGAGGAATCTGGAGTTGTTGTCCAAAAAGATTAACTCGTCCAAGCTTTCCATAGAAAACAAAGGTTCTGGATATATTTTACAGTTCACAGAAATGTAAAGGCAACACCCTGGCCACACTCCAGACTGGGAGTTATTTATTTCTAAAAAGACTAGTATTTTAAAAGAGGTTGGTAGCCAAAAATCTTCCTTTGCATTATTGTGTTTTAAAAGGTTTAGATTTATTTAATTCCATAGAGCAGGGGTTCTCAATTTTTTTCCAACATTGGAGCCTTTTTTGAAGCAAAAGTTTCCTTGTGGAGCCCCAAGAAATCATAGAATCATAGAGTTGGAAGAGACCTCATGGGCCATCCAGTCCAACCCCCTGCCAAGAAGCAGGAATATTGCATTCAAACCACCCCTGACAGATGACCATCCAGCCTCTGTTTAAAAGCTTCCAAAGAAGGAGCCTCCACCACACAGAGTTCCACTGCTGAACGGCTCTCACAGTCAGGAAGTTCTTCCTCATGTTCAGATGCTTATATATTATATATTACATTGTTTATAATATGTGTATATATTATAATAGGCATGGGCAAACTTTTCAACCAACATAAATTTTAAAATATTTCAGTGGAAGACCCATCCAGTCCAATCCCCTTCTGTCATGCAGGAAAAGCATAATCAAAGCACCCCCTGAGTGGTGGGAGGGAAATAATAATAATAATAATCTTTATTTATACCCTGCCACCATCTCCCCAGTGGGGACTCGGAGCGGCTTACATGGAGCTAAGCCCGGACAACATATTACAGCAATAAAATCAAAGCATAAACAACAAACAACAACAACATCATCATAATACATCTATGTATACAATAAAAGTCAATGTTTGTATGTGGAGGGAGGGCGGTGTATGTGGCAGCTTTCTCATTGGCTGCCACTTTCACAGGCCACTGTGACCAGCACGGGTGATGGACTTGGACCAAATTTGGCACACATAACCCCCATGACCCCCTTTACGTCCTGGTGAGGCTTGGGGGAGGACGGACAAAAGATGATGGGATTTGTAGTACTTTCAAACCCATCGGTTCCCACAGACCACTGTGGTCCTCAAAAAAGACCAATAAAGCCCCCATGACCCACTCTACATCCTACTGCAGTTTGGAGGAGGGCTGACCATGGATGATGGGACTTGAAGTATCACTGCTCACTTCCTGAGTCCGCTGCAACTCTCATTCAATGACTAATCAAGACCAAACTTGGCACACATAACCTCCATGACCCTCTTTACATCCTGGTGAGGGTTGGGGAGGACAGACAATGAATGGGATTTGTAGTACTTTCCCACCCCTTTTGTTTCCAAAGACTACTGTGGCCCCAAACAAAGACTGATCAAGACCAAACTTGGCTCACAGAGCCCCCATGACCCACTGTACATCCTGGTGCAGTTCAGAGTAGGAAGGACCACGGGTGATGGGACTTGAAGTACCTCCACTTGCTTCCTGAGACTGCTGCGAACCTCATCCAATAACTGATCAAGACCAAACTTGGCACAGAGAGCCCCCATGACCCACTCTACATCCTGGTGCTGTTTGGAGGATGATTGACCATGGACGATGGGACTCGCAGTACCTTCGCTAACTTCCCCAGAGCACTGTGAGCCACATAAATAACTGATAAAGACCAACCTTGGCGCACAATGCCTTTCTCAAATTACCCGGGCAGCACCGGGTCCCCAAGCTAGTTAATAATAAGAAAGAAAAAAGGGGTTTTGGAAGCAAGGAAGGTGAGGGGGGAAAGGGTCTGGGGGCAAGGGATGTAAAGAAAAAAGACTTTTGGTGGTAAGGGAGGAGGGGGAGGAGCAGGAAAGAGGAGGGAAAGCTTGGAGGAAAATGGAGGAAAAGGAAACCTTGGAACCCCTCGGTATGTTTTGTGGAGCCCTAAGGGCTCCATGGAGCACACTTTGAGAACCGCTGCTATAAAGAGAGGCGGGTAAGAAGATCATTGATATTGTTATTATTACGAAATACCTCACAATTGCCTTTCCTCCTTAAGCAGACAAGAATGATGTGCATAAAAGCTTGAGTAGTTGGCTGAAGCATAATCAAAACAAGCAATGACAAACCGAAACTGTCATACATAATAAATTATGTAAATTCTTCAATGCCACAAATAATATTTTTGCAAATTATTTTGCAGTAATAAATTAGTTTATATTATTGTAGTTTAAGCAACATATAAACAGATGTCAGTCTGAAATACACTTGTTTTTAATCATCTTAAACTTGTTCCCTGGAAGTTGCATGCATTAATTTTATTTTTGTTGTTCATCTCATTCTCACCTTCACATTCTGTGGTAAAATTGTAAATACAACCAGCCTCCGCTCCTTCAGTTCGGATAGGTCTTACACTTTGAACCGGAGTTCCTATGTGCGGGACAGCATGATGATTGAAGAGTTACTAGTTCCATCAAAAGATCAAGTAAGTTTTCTCAATTTTTGTCACTTAATGCTTTTGCAGGGAGAAAGGGAGGGAAAAAGAAAGATGAATCAATGGGTATTGAATGTTTATTATGTGTATTATTATGTGCTCTTGACCAAATGTATACAATTTAGTATACCAGACTGACCACAACATATTTCCATTTGCAGTGCAGTTTATAAGCCTGTGTCTCTCCACAAGCTACTGGTGGATTGTCATACTTGACAATATATATTGCTTATGTAATTTGTAAACTTTTTAATTCATTTCATTTCTAAAAAGAATTAATACATGAATTTCCTGGGTTAATTAAAGGAAATTTAATCCTTTGTATTTTGTATTTTGAAATGTACTTTGTTCAGGACAAAAAGACATGCTTAATAGTTTCTTAGGTTATAGAAGTGCCTGAATACAACTATCTCTGGTCCCTTCTACACTGCCATATAATCCAGATGCACCGGGACTGTGGCGTAGCTGGCTGGGAGTCAGCTGCATTAAGATCACTACTGACCGAAAGGTCATGAGTTCAAAGCCAGTCTGGGTCAGAGTGAGCTTCTGGCCAATTTGTGTAGTTTGTTATTGACCTTTGCAGCCAGAAAGACAGTTGCATGTGTCAAGTAGGAAAATTAGGTACCATTTATGTGGGGAGGCTAATTTAACTAATTTACGAGGCCATAAAAATCTCCAGCAAGCATACAGGGAATGAGGAAGTACTTCATCAATGTTGCAGATGAACGGTGAAGCGACAGCTCCCCTGGTGGCCAGAAAAAGTTGGAATGTTAAATATTATTTATTTATTTATTTCGCGTATTTCTACCCCGCCCTTCTCAACCCCCGAGGGGGGACTCAGGGCGGCTTACAAAAGGCACAATTCGATGCCTACACAACAGTAAAAATAAAACATATAAAAACAGCAGTTAAAACAATTATAAACAGTTAAAATAATCAATTATTCATCACAATCAATAAAACGAATCGCATGCTCAACGTTCGCCAGCTCAGAATCCATAAATTCATTTCATATTGTCAGTTCCTATCAATTCTAGTCGTCATTGTCCTTTCTATCTGCCAGGTTGCCCAAACGCCTGCTCCCAAATCCATGTTTTTAATTTCCTTCTAAAAGAGAGGAGGGATGTCGATGACCTAATTTCCCCAGGGAGTAAATTCCACAGGTGAGGGGCCACCACCGAGAAGGCCCTGCTCCCCACCAATCTCACTTGTGATACCCTTTGACTGCCTGTCTATATGTGTTGTGTGTCTATGGCATTGAAAGTTTGCCTGTATACGTACATTGTAATCCTGCGGGGTGAGAAGGGCGGAATATAATACTGTAAATAAATAAATAATAAGATGATCACAGCAGATAATCCACATTATCTGGTTTGAACTGGATTATAGGAATCTACACTTCCATAAAATACAGTTCAAATCAGAAATCTGGATTTTATATGGCAGTGTAGAAGGGACCTAAATAGTCTTTAAATTATACCTGCAAGAGAAAATGTTCATTATTAAATTTTCCTTTGTGTATGGTGTTGTGGTTGCAAAGAGTAGAAATGTAAACTGATAGCAGACAAGTATTTGCCTTTGACTGATGTAGATTATTTGAGGTGTGACCCTTATATTCGGATTATACCATACCCAAACTTGGGTGGTAGAAGCTTTTTTGAAGCCAGTAAACCAAATCATCAAGCCATTGGGTTGTTGTAGGTTTTTTCGAGCTATATGGCCATGGTCTAGAGGCATTCTCTCCTGAAGTTTCGCCTGCATCTATGGCAAGCATCCTCAGAGGTAGTGAGGTCTGTTGGAACTAGGAAAAAGGGTTTATATATCTGTGGGTGAGATAAAGGACTCTTGCCTTCTGGAGCTAGGTGTGAATGTTTCAACTGACCACCTTGATTAGCATTTGATTGCCTGGCACTGCCTGGAGCAATTTTTTGCTGAGTTGTGATTAGATGTCCTTGTTTGTTTCCTCTCTGTTGTTGTGCTGTTCTAATTTTAGAGTTTTTTAATACTGGTAGCCAGATTTTGTTCATTTTCATGGTTTCCTCCTTTCTGTTGAAATTGTCCACATGCTTGTGTATGTCAATGGCTTCTCTGTGTAGTCTGACATGGTGGTTGTGAGAGTGGTCCAGCGTTTCTGTGTTCTCAAATAAAATGCTGTGTCCAGGTTGGTTCATCAGGTGCTCTGCTATGGCTGACTTCTCAGGTTGAAGTAGTCTGCCGTGCCTTTCATGTTCCTTGATTCGTGTTTGGCCAATGCTGCGTTTGGTGGTCCTTATATAGACTCAAGCCATTCCCTCGCCTGTTTGAATGTCATGATCTGGAAGATAGCACATCAGATTGCTCATCCTTTAATTTTCTTCCTGAAGGAAACTGAAAAGAGTAAGAAATGTGAGCTGAATCAGGTTACATAACAAAATCCTTGAAGACTCCAAAAATATATAGAAGAAGCAGCACTTTGAAGGAGAAGGGGATTGGAAGAAGGTTGAGAGTCAGAGTGGCATATTAGTTTGAGTGTTGGAAACCTGGGTTTGAATCCTCACTTGGCCATGGAAACCTTGGGCAAGACTAGATCTGGAAAGGCCTGGGGAAAAATGAAAAGGGAGGGGGGGCAGAAACATTGGGGGGGGGGGACGACAGAAAAGAGGGGGTTCCCAGGCCTTCCCATCCTTAGGCAAGACAAACCCTCCCAGCTCAGAAAAAAGGCAAAGGCAACCCCAAAATAGGTTCACTGTAGTTGAAAATAACTTAGGGTACAAAACAAGGAGAAGGAGAAGAAGAAGACAAGGATTAACCTTTTCCCGAGCCACCGATGGCACAATGGGTTAAACCCTTGTGCCAACAGGACTGAAGACTGACAGGTCGTAGGTTCGAATCTGGGGAGAGCGTGGATTACATTTTCTTGCCCTGGTGAAGAGAGTTGGATGGCCTTAAGTATTTTCTGTTGGTCATGGGGGTTCTGTGTGGGAAGTTTGCCCCATTTCTGTCGTTTGTGGGTTTCAGAATGCTCTTTAATTGTAGTGAACTATAAATCCCAGTAACTACAAATCCCAAATGTCAAGGTCTATTTCCTCCAAACTCCATCTGTGTTCATATTTAGGCATATGGAATTTTTGTGTCAAGTTTGGTCCAGATCCATCATTGTTTGAGTCCACAGCTCTCTGGATGTAGGTGAACTACAACTCCCAAACTCAAGGTCAATCCCACCAAACCCTTCCAGTGTGTTCTGTTGGTCATGGAAGTCCTGTATGCCATGTTTGGTTGAATTCCATCATTGGTGGAGTTCAGAATGCTCTTTGATTGTAGGTGAACTATAAATCCCAGTAAGTACAAATCCCAAATGTCAAGGTCTATTTCCTCCAAACTCCATCTGTGTTCATATTTGGGCATATGGAATATTTGTGTCAAGTTTGGTCCAGATCCATCATTGTTTGAGTCCACAGTGCTCTCTGGATGTAGGTGAACTACAATTCCCAAAACTCAAGGTCAGTGCCCATCAAACCCTTCCAGTATTTTCTATTGGTCATGGGAGTTCTGTGTGCCAAGTTTGATCAATTCCATCATTGGTGGAGTTCAGAATGCTCTTTGATTGTAGGTAAACTATAAATCCCAGCAACGACAATTCCCAAATGACAAAATCATTTTTTTTGAGTGGAGGACATACATTGGACTGTTAGGTGTCTTGTGTCCAAATTTGGTGTCAATTCCCCCAGTGGTTTTTGAGTTCTGATGGTAGCACGAACTAACATTACATTTTTATTTATATAGAATTGTATGTATATATACCTTGTAAGCCGCTCTGAGTCCCCTTCGGGGTGAGAAAGGCGGCATATAAATGTCGTAAATAAATAAATAATAATAAATATGGCAGTATAGATGGGAGCCTTAGATTACAGTTCTAGTTGCCTCTGCCTTAGTAGTCTACTAGCCAATTTTTCAGTAAACAGCTACTAATGGAAGGGTCAGTTGTGCTGCCAGAAAGTCCTTGAGCACAACAGGTTGCCTTTTATACAGAGTAGTAATTTAGATGAAACAGTAGGCCAGACAGTACAGGGAGTTCCTTCGTACTCTGCCATTTGGCTGTTACTCTGATTATACAACCAGGAGACTGAAAGGGTGGGAGGCATTTGGGAAAGCACTTTTCTTTATAGAAGACAGTTTATTTTTGTATCAGCTCAGGGTGTCTGCAGCAGGTTGGGCTGTAGTTTGAAATGGTGTAGCTGCTTCAGATAGCTCGCTATAAAATTTTGTGAAAGGTCTGTTGGTTTATGCAGTTCAACTATTTTAAGATTGTACCCCAGTTCTCCTAGATGACAAAGAGGAAACACTTTTAGATGTGTTTTGGCTTTTGGGAGATAATAGTCTGGCTACGGCCCTGTTTTGAGGTAAATCTTCTTCTCAATAAATGGACATGGGTCTTAATTATAAATATCAACGAAATATTTATTTAAGGATTCACAGGTGTACAAGGTTTGATGATTATTCTGTATTCCTTTAAATGTTGTTACTAGGGCTGGGCGGTTTCGTTTCGCAATTTCGCAATTCGTTAAAAATTCGTTATTTTTTATAACGAAGCGATTTTGAACCATTCAGGAGCATCTAAAAAACGAAACGAATTTTCCAATTCGTTTCGTAATTGCTTCGTATTCGTTTCGTATTTGAAATCGTTTCGTTATTATTTCCGCATGTCTGGGGCAAGTTTTATAGCTGTTGTTTGTTTAATCAGTGAAAAAAAATTATAAATATCACACCAACAGTCAACAACAGAGGGAGAGGGAAGCTTCAAAAGTTCCCCCTGTCCCATATGGAGGTTTTTTAGCGTATTGCGCGGTCGCGTCCGCCATTAACGAATCGATTCGTATTCGTTTCGTATTCGTTTCATATTGTTTCGTAATTTTACGAAATTTCGTAAATATCGAACTTTTTTAAAGAAAAATTTCGGAATTCTTTTAAATATCGAAACGCAAAAAACCCCAAAAAAACGAATCGAGTTTAGA